CAGGTGGAGGTAAGCAGTGCCTCCGCGTGACCCTGTCCTGTCGTAGGGGCTCGCGAGAGGTACGGCTGACGCACTCGGCCGGAGCGGCAAACGCTCTCCGCGACAAGTCCTGCAAAATCCTGCGTGATGTGGCTGGGAGGGTCCCCATGTGGGACCAATGCGCTCGACAACGTGCACGTGGGAAAGGAAGAAGAAGCTGGGGGGGGTGGAGAGAGAGGAACGACGTGAGAGTTGGGAGGGGGAGGACCTACTCCTCCCAACCTGACAACTGTCCTCCCCATTTTCAGGGGAGGGCAGCAGAGGGAAAGATCAAGCTGTTGGCATACAACTGCATGCTTCTGGCTCAAATCACGGTCAGGAGCATTGTAGTTGAGGGGGTTGGAGTTTTTCTTTTTTTTCTTTATTCATTTTCTTTTTCTTGCTCTTTCGTGAGGACACTTGTCCTTACGAGGTGTTACCTCTGGTACAAGCTGCCAGAAGTAACTATCAGGCTCCCGTTTTTTAAGGGAGCCTTGAAATTGAGGGGCCACAAAGGAAAAGGCTAAGTACAACCTTTTGCCCGATGTATCTGCCCTAGGAAAAAGGTCCAAATACATCAAACTGAAAGGGGTTGTATCTCTCCAACCCCTTATCAGAAAAATAAAAGAAAAACATTTTTGGAAATGGCAGAGGCTCAGCTATCTCGTGAAATTTCGGGATAGCTGAAACCAAGAAAAGAAAAAAAGAAAATAGTGCAGTTATAAGAATTGCCCCACACTAAGGTTGTGGATGTAGTGCGGCCACATTTAGCCTTGGATCTTGGCCAGATCAAGGGCTCACTGTGAGCCCGCGATTTTGCCTGGGGATTGGAGTGACGTCCAACCCTCCTCAGCCACTATAAAACATGGCAGTTGTCCCCAGCTGCCACACAAAGCACTCGTGCTGTCAATGTGTGACGTGCACACTTTAGCGCTGCTTGGCTGCTGGGGAGCTGTCAGAGGCAACGTGGGGAGGAGGCTGGAGGTCTGCAGAGGAGCAAGAGGAGAGGAGTTGCGCAGCTATAGCCAAGGCAAGGAGCACTCTACTCCCCTCCACTCTGGCAGGTGCTGGTCCCACAGGACTAATCCAGGGACATTGCGGAACTATGGCAGTGCGACGTTGTGGATTCTACTAATTTTGGCTAGCCATTTTTCCACTGTAGTGGGGAAATGCTGCCGAAATTTTGCAATGGCAGATAAGTGGCGACAAGGCTGTTGACGGCAACAACGGCGGTGGTGCGGAAGCGCTGCCGAATTTTTGCTACGGCGGCACTAAGTTTAACGGCGGTGGTGTGGAAGCGCTCCTGAATTTTTGTTGCGGCAGCACTAAGTTTAACGGCGGTGGTGCGAAAACATTGCCGGATTTTTGCTGCAGCGGCACTATGTTTAACGGCGGTGGTGCGGAAGCGCTGCCAGATTTTTGCTGCGGCGACACTAAGTTTAACGACAGTGGTGCGAAAGCGCTGCCGGATTTTTTATATTTTTTTTTTGTAGCGACGACACTAGTTTTAACGGCGGTGGTGCGGAAGCGCTGCCGGATTTTTGCTGCGGCGCCATTAGTTTTAACGACGGTAGTGCGGAAGCGCTGCCGGATTTTTGCAGCGGTGACACTAGTTTTAACGACGGTGGTGTGGAAGCGCTGCCGGATTTTTGTTGCGGCGACATTAGTTTTAACAACAGTTTGCAGCAATGACACTGGTTTCACGACGGTGACGGCAGTATCTTTTTGCACTGAGTGGCGACTGGGCATTGACGCAGGGAAGGTGTCGCTAAAGTGATGTGTTTTTTAAGCGTCGTGGACATGATGGCACAGAAACGCGATGATGGGAAAAGCAAGTGGCGGTGACATTTACTGAAAAATAATTGCGGGGTGTTGTAACAGGTGGTCGCCACAAGAGAGTGGTGTGGATCACTTTGTTGATGACTCGCCGTAATAAATTTTTGAGAACAATAGTTTATACGACCTCTTGAGTGAACCTCAAAGTCAGTGGTCAGTTGATTGACTCAAATTTCTCTTCACACATGTGTGAACCCACACTTTGCTTAACTCTGTTCATTGGATGTTCGTTGAAAAGATAGAGGAAAGTTGTGCGTATCGTGCATGTGAATGGAAATGTCGGACTTGAGCATGGGATTGCACTGGTTTTCTCTTGAACTTATTGTCTCTGCGTGTTGTGGAGGTAGGTAGAAGGAGGCTTGCAAAGAAGATTGATTATGCCTAATTGAGAAAACGAAAAATGATTATCTTCCTTTTGCTTCTCACCTGCCTGCATGCCAAAAATGATTCGTTGTTTTGAAAAACGTTAATTTTGTGTGTACCGTAGAATGAATTCGATCGAAATATGGCAGATAAGGTCAAATGAAATTAGTCTTTTCCAGGGGATTACCCGTTCTATTCCGAATGACCTTATCTTCCTGTACCTGTTCAAATGATTCTCATTATTTATCTCCTCTGTTTTCTTTTCGTCTAAGTTACCCTGAACTCAGGAGAGATAAGAATAATTGAAAGCTTCTTGTTGTGGATACATCCTATCTTTCATGGAAGCATCTCGGGTGAGGGTTCGTTGCTTTTGGAGCCGACCCTGTTATCGACCCAGAGTGGGTCGTTCTACGAGGGGGTACTTTGCCGATTCGGTGGAGACGGCCCGACTTTTGAGATCCGAGTCTTGTGCTCGGACGAGGAGGAGGAGTACCCCAAACCACTTCCTAGAGGGAGAGGCATGCAACACCTCAAGCAATGCTCCTGATCAAGAATCATCCGCAAAACAGTCTGTCATCCAAGAAGATTGAGAAACATATGGAGACAGGTGTGTGCGTATTCGATCTTAGGTCGGCGGTAGGATGAAATAAATAACTTTGGCAACGCATCTCATCAAGTCAAAACTAAGACAGACCGACTACCTTGTCGGCTGCATTGAGGTTATTGTTGACAGTCAACTCCTCGTTGGAGGCTGTATGATTTTTATGGAATTCGACCCAGGGTGGTCGGATTTTATTTTGATATTGTGTTATTGTATGTATCTAATGATGATTTAGATTCGTTATGTTATCATTTCAGATTGGATATATGTTCATGTCGACTACGGTCGATTCTTTTTTATGTAACTAAGTATGGTTGTTATGTCTTTCTTTTTAACTAGTGACCAAAGGGACTAGGATATTGGGGGTTTCACACTTGGTTGAAATCGTCATAGTCAATCGGCGTACGCTTCGTACTTCGGAGATCAACGTCCTAAGGAACAGACGACGTTCGGGTTCAATAGGTATTTTAATCGCGCATACCTATACTAAAGCGAGCGAGCAAACGCCCTCGGCTAACCCACGTCCTCAATTTTCATTCAAGAGCTTGCAAATTCACTCTCGAAAACGTCGAGAGTGAGTCATTGTTGCACTAACTGTGGAAAGGTGTTCTTGGTTCGTCGCTTCAAGAGGTGTCGAAAACGTCACATCGGACGAGTTTTTGCAGCTTCCACAGTTACCGCCTGCAGGGGTGTTTTTTTTCAAACGAGGCCTACCGGACCCTTCGTGCGGTTTGCAAATTTTGAGAGTTGACCTCCAGTCTTTGTGGACAAATTGCCGCTACCCTGTCGTGTAGTGTCTTTTAAACTTATCAAATTTATGTCCGACAGTCACGGTCAAGAATGCTCACGAGAGTAGAAAGTCCGGAGTAAGAGCAACGATGACATGCCAATCCAGGAGTCTGAGAGCACTAGATGTACTCTTGAAAATTTTCATGTGTCTAGCGTAGTGCATTGAGGCCTTTTGCCTCCCGCCCTTCTGTTGGGCCGCGATGTAGCCACGGGGGGTGCACTTGTCCCTCAAATGGAACATACGGTCACTATAGCTGTATTTGGGGCAACTTTCAGTCTAGATAGAGCGATAATGACCGTACGCGTTAATCAGGGGAGGATGGCAGTTTTCTACAGTCTTGTCTGTAGCTTCAGTTGTCTATGCACAAAATTTTACTGGCAGGCAAAATTGCACATTCTGAAGAAAAAAAGTCTCAAAGTTTGGAGATCCTGCACACCCACGACAAGGGTAGTCTGAAAGATCTATCCTAGGCCACTACCGTCTTCCCCCGAACATAACACATATGCATTGTAAACGAATATAACGCATACCATGCTTTGTATTCGTTTACAACACGTATGCATTATTTGTATTCATTTACAACACATATGCACCCCGTCACCAGGGCAAGAACGGAGCACGCACTGACGCTGACCTTGGGGGGGGGCGGAAGGAGTTATATTCAAATGCAATAATTTTTTCGATGTGAAATTCGAATAAAAGGCATGTGTGCAGTTTTCGAATCCACCTCACATGCGTTATATTCCACGTGCCCTTGTTTTTTTTGCAAAACTCGAATACAACGCATATACGTTATGTTCGGGGGAAGATGGTGGTGGTGGAACATAGGGGCCTCGTTAGACACTCCTCGGGGCTTCCTCGGGCCCCAAGGACGATTCCTCGGAGTGGTTGGGGGATTTTGACGCCTTCGTTCCGCTCATTCTCGGAGTCGTCCCCCGAGGACGATTCCTCGGGGCTCCTGCGGCCAGATTTATATGCGTATTAACGGCCACGGGGTGTGGGTACGACGGGTGGTCTTCATTTGTGTCCGTCTGGATTGCCGTGGTCCAGCTTTTCGGGCCGCCGTCCAAGAAATGACGTCGTTCGAAAATAAAAAAAGGGCCTTCGGGAAGGCGCGCAAGGGACGAATTCAAAATTTGAAAATTCGAAATGTGCGCGTGCGAGTGGAGGCGGGCGACGAACGTCAGCCGTGCGG